AGTAAATAATAAAGAAAAAAACATAATTATAAATACTACATATAGACCACCATCTGAAAACTTAAAGAAATTTAAAACTCATCTTAAAACATTTCTTAACAAAGTTACAAATTCGAGAAAACATATTTATTTGGTGGGGGATTTTAACATTAACCTGATCAACTATGCTTCAAATAATAATACTAAGAATTTTATAAATACTCTTCTACAATATAACTTTATCCCAACAATAAACAAATCAACAAGAATAACAAATAGGTCTTCTACTCTACTTGATAACATCATAACTAACAACTTTCATAATAACCCTCTTTACACAGGTATAATCCAGACCGATTTATCGGATCATTTTCCTACATTCTTAGCTACAAATAACATTTTAATTAACAATATTTCCACAAAATCCATAATAATTCGGCGACAGATCAATGAAAACTCCTTAAAACAATTTAAAAATTGTTTAAAAAATTGTGTTGATTGGAATCTAGTACTGCAATCAAATGAGGCTAACAATGCATATGACTTGTTTCTTAATCAATTTTGCAAACAATATGAAATAGCGTTTCCAGAAATTAAAAAAGTCATAAATACCAAGTCACTTCAAGCTCCCTGGATGTCTAAAGGCTTACTAAAATCTTCAAAAAAGAAAGAAAAATTATATATAAAATATCTTAAAAAAAAAACTTATAAAAATGAAATAACTTACAAAAATTATAAAAATATATTTGAAAAAACCAAAAAATACTCAAAAAAACTATTTTATGATCAATTATTAAAGAAAACCAACGGAAACACTAAAAAAATATGGAATTTAATTAAGGATTTAATTGGAAAAAATAAATATAACAAAAGCACTCTGCCAAAAAATCTTTTAATTAATGGAGAATTAGTTTATGAAAAATCAATTATAGCTGAAGAACTAAACAACTACTTTGTTAATATTGGCCCGAATTTGGCTGCTAAAATATCTACTAATTCCATTCCATTTGATTCATACTTAAAAACTTATGATAAACTTATGGATGAAACTGATTTAAAAATGAGTGAGTTGAGAACTGCATTTAGCAGTCTCAAAAGTAAAAAAAGTGAAGGTTTTGATAAAATTAGTGTTGATGTTGTCAAATCAGTATTTGAAGTCATTGAACCTTCTTTATTTCACATTTTCAATCTCTCATTAAAGTCAGGTATTGTTCCTAATAAATTAAAAATTGCCCGTATAACACCAATTTTTAAATCTGGAGATAAGTCAAATATTTTAAATTACAGGCCTATATCAATCTTACCTTGTTTTTCAAAATTGCTAGAGAGAATAATGTATAACAGACTTTATAATCATCTAACTGAGAACGACATGTTGTATTGTAAACAATTTGGTTTTAAAAAAAAAAATTCCACTGAACACGCAGTAGTTGAACTTTCCAATCAAATATCTAATGCCTTAAATAATGACTGTTTTACATTAGGAGTTTTCATTGATCTGTCAAAAGCTTTTGATACCGTAAATCACTATATACTAATAAAAAAACTCGAAAACTACGGTGTAAAAAATAAAAACTTACTTTGGTTCAAAGATTATCTGACTAACAGAAAGCAATTTTTATACTATAATAAAAATAATACAATTCCACACTCCATAACTTGCGGGGTTCCTCAGGGTTCTATTTTAGGACCACTTTTATTTATATTGTACATAAACGACTTATACCTATCAACAAATCTTTTAGACCTAATTTTGTTTGCTGATGATTCAAATTTTTTTTGTTCTCACAGAGATATTAAATCACTTTTTAAAATAGTTAACGAACAGTTATGTAATGTTAGTTCATGGTTCGTAAGTAATAAACTTTCACTAAATGCGGAAAAAACAAAATATATGCTTTTCCATAAAGTAAATAAATCAGAAAATATTCCTCTTAAATTACCAGATCTTAATATTAATAAAACTTATATTAAAAGGGAATCTTACATAAACTTTTTAGGAGTAAAATTGGATGAAAATTTAAAATGGTGTTCACATATAAATAGCATTGAAAAAATAATCTCAAAAAATATTGCAATGATGTTTAGGGCTAAACCCTTTCTAATTATATCATCTCTGAAAAAATTATATTTCGCCTTTATTCACAGTTATTTGTCTTATTGTAATGTTGTGTGGGCTAGTACTAGTCATACAAAACTAAAGAAACTCTACAATAAACAAAAACATGCATGTAGAATAGTATTTGGAGCCGACAGAAATGTTCCTTGCGAACCACTTCTAAGTGTGCTCGGTGCTTTAAATGTATATAAACTTAATTTACACCAAGTTTTATTGTTTATGTTTAAAACAAAAAAGGATTTGTCTCCTAAAATATTTCAATCTTATTTTAATAAAATTAACCATAGGTACTCAACAAAGTTTTCAGAAAACAATTTTGTTGTTCCAAAACATAAATTAAAATTAACTTCCTATTCAATTAAATACCGCGGACCTTATCTGTGGAAGAAATTTCCAGATATTGTTAACAAAAAGCAGACTACATTAGAGCAATTTAAGGATGAATCAAAACGATTATTATTGTTCATGGATCTCAATAAATCCGACTTTAAATGTTTATTTTAAAGTAAACACAATAAAAAAAAAATAAAAAAAAAACAGATTCAATAAATCAATGATATATGATAATATGAATAAGAAAAGAAAGAAAAAGGAAAAAAAGAAAAAAAAAAAAAAAAAAAAAAAAAGAATAAGAAATCCAAGTGATGATGTCACAAGTGATGATGTCATAAGTGATGATGTTACATATTCATTTAGTGTTAATTATGAGATTTTATTTTTTCAATTTCTTTTATATTCAGGAATTTTTTTTTTTTTTTTTTTTTTTTTTTTTTTTTTTTTTTTTTTTTTATATTAACTTATTTCTTAAACATTTTAGCAACTGTTAAGCATCTTAACGCTTCTTAATTAATTCTTATTTTTTATTTTTTTTATTATATTAGTTATTTTCTATTTCATTTCTATTTGTTTCTTTTATATATATATTTGTATGTTACGGTTATGTAGAATTTTTAATGGGGCTCGGCGATAAGGCGAAATGTGCCTTCTTCTTGCTCCAGCCATCAATTTATAAAAATGTATATGCAATGTAAAAATTTTTTAACGGCGAAATAAATTACACTAAAAAAAAAAAAAAAAAAAAAAAAAAAAAATCTTTCGGTATAACTTAGATGTTTTAGTTCAGGGGCTAGCTTTGTTGCTCGTCTTTGAATTTTTTCTAGGTCATTGATATTGTTTTTATTACTTGGACTCCACACTCGAGCTGCGAATTCCAAGTGTGGTCTAACCAGCGATGTGTATAGTTGCCTTACCATTTCAGTATTAAGATAAGTAACCCGGTGGAAAATCGGCTAGTGAATAGCTAGCGATATTCGTTACGATTAAGACAGCGATTTGGCCACGAGGATCGCTAGCTTTATAAGCTAGCGATCCGCATGCTAAACAAGCTAACGATCCGCTAGCTAAACAAGCTAGCAAATAGCTAGCATTAAGTCGTTACGATTAAGACTGCGGTTTGGCCACGAGGATCGATAGCTTTATAAGCTAGCGATCCGCTAGCTAAACAAGCTAGCTAATACCTAGCGACAAGTCGTTACAATAAAGACAGCGATTTGGCCACGAGGATTGCTAGCTTTACAAGCTAGCGATTCGCTAGCTAAACATGGCTACGAGGATTACTAGCTAAATAAGCTAGCGAATAGCTAGCATTAAGTCGTTACAATAATGACATCGATTTGGCTAGAAAATATCGGCTAGGTTAGAAGATATGCTCAAAGAATCGCGAATTATAACCATTAAAATAAGATTGCATTTATGAAAAATTAAATACAAAATGTTAATACTTGTTTCCATAAAAAGTTATAAATGTTAAAGCCATTAAAAAATGTTAAAAGAAAAGTTATAGATTACTTTTGAAAAAAAAAAAGTCATTAACAACTAAATGATTTTGCCTAAATTAAATTAATAATTTCAAGAGATATTTAAAAAGATAATAGAATAAAATTTCTGTCAAATTTTAGTTTTTTTTTAAATCTTTATCAATTTTCGACAATAATTGCTAAAAAAGTTGTAACAAATAAAATATCTAAAAAAAAAAAAGTCAATAAAAAATAATAGAACAAATAAACAAAAAAAATAAGTTAACTGGAATCACTACATGAGTCAGTGTTTAAATAACTTTTTTTTCTAACAGGACTGTGTATTTGTATATCACTTGTTAAAGAAGAATTTCTCTTTCTTGTAGCAAAATAACGATCTTTAGACTTTTTCAAGTGTTTCGCAATTATTGTAGTCATACTGGATTCAGTGGCAGTTGGAAATAAACAGTAAGCTGCATCAAAAATCAAACTTTCGACTGGTCCTATAAACTTATGCTTTTTATCTGCACCAGTTCGATTAATGCTGCAACACAGCTTGTCTGTTAAACTGTTTGAATACTATACTGTTATACATCATTGGAAAGAAAATCAATACAGTATTTTAATGCTGAAAAAATTATCAAAATCGAACCATTCGTTTAAAGGTTATGATGGTTTAAGTACCGATTTTTCGATATATGGGTTTGTTGAAGAAAATGTGGTTAAAATTATGTTTCCCCCCCCCCCCCCCCTCCTCCGCTAATCCACCATAACATAAATTTTTTTTTTTAAATTTTGGCTAATAAATTTTTAATTACTGTATGATAAATTATCAAAACAAAACGGCATTTTCATCCATGTTTTGGCGCGCAGATGTTTACCTTCGGCAAATCTCAGCTCAAATTTTAGCATGATGCAGGCAATCAAAAGTCAAATAAAAATAAAATCTCATTAATCGATACGAATGACGTAAGTTTAACATCAAACGTAAAAGTAGCTAGCTGTCTAAATAAACAGTTTTACGAAGCATTTACCAAACCAGCTGATCAAGAAAAATATTTAACAATAGGTTTATCGCCGAGAACAAATGAATAAAAAATAAATAAAAAATGTACTTTGAATTTATCTTTTCTATTCTCTCCATTAAATGTTAAACAACATTGTCTGTTAAACAAGTTTTTAAAGCATTTTTTAAAAAGTCACTTACATTTCTCCCACCAATTTGCTTTAACTTTCTGCAAATGATATCTTTATCATTAGAGTTAATTATTTTATTTTCTAGAGTGTCAAACTCTTCAACTGAATTAGCTGGTAAATAATCTATATTAATATTTTCTTTATTACCATGATTAGTGTCTAAAATTGAACGCATGGAACGCATTTCTGTTTCCAACCCACAGAGTTTTCTGTACATGGAGTTCACTATAAATTGAATCCCTTCAATAGTATTGGGTTCAACATTTGCTTTCCGAATAAAGTTATTTATTTGGGGTATCCCAGTTTTTTGAGATGGTAAAGAAAAGGAAGAAGATGAATGCAGTAACGGTTGAACTTGTGAAACAGATTTCATTTCTGATGGAAACATTATCTGTGTAACTGGCAAATCATCTATCTGATCCATTAAGGCAGAGACGGACAAAAATTTCTAAACAAGTTTAACAATGATTATAAATACATTCACAATATTCTGATTATATTATACTTTTTTTTTAAAAAATTTAAAAATGGTAACTAAAAAAAGCAAATAAACCATAAAAATGAAACAAAAAAAATTATTATTTTTACGAATCGGATAAAATTTTAAAATGTATACTAAATCGGAATCACTAAGCTTTGGTGGCTCCCACAATGGTAATGATGGTAAAGGAGGTTCTTCAAAAATACATTTTTTTTCCTCTTTCTGTTTTGTTGACTTAAAGGAGTTTTCTTGTTTTGTTTTTTTATGTATTAAAATCAATTTCTACTTCTGATTCTACCGTAAGAACATGCTAAAAAAAAACTTTTTTAATATACATACAATCATAGCTTTATACAATACACATTTCATAGATCGTCCAGACAATATTTTAAAAATCCGGAAATTTGTTTGGGTAAAAAACCCGGAAAATATTTTCTCTTATTTTCCTCTTATTTTTGCTTATAGCTGAGTTTTTTCTTCTTTTTTTTTTCAAACTTTTCTTTATTTTTTTAAGAGTGATGAATGAAAAAGCTTATAAAACAAATAGATGTGTTTAAACTTTTAAGTATAAAAAATGTTTTAGATATCCAGTAAAAAAAAAGTTACAAAATATTTCCAGAATTCTGGAAATATCCAAAAAAGGTTAATCCTTGACATATACAAAAATCTGTTACTAAAAAAGGACAAAAGAAATCATAATAAATACAGCTCATAATCAACTCAACTTTAACTAAGTTAAATACTCAACACATTTTATGCAATGCTTTGTGCATTGATTAGAATAAAAATATTTTATTGAGTTAGTTTAAAAATACTCACATTCAAAGGTGGGCCGAAACTACAACTGTATAAAAAACTATCGACATTCCGTGCTAAAATATAGATAGTTAAAAAAAGCTACGATATGTAGCAATCAAATAGCTATAGACGTTTTGTAATCTTCTACCTAGCTTAAACGCTACTGTATTAGGCACTTCAACATATTTAGAAAAAATGTAAGATGAAAACAAAACAAACTTCATTAGTTTGAACTAAAAATCAACAGTTAAAAAATAACAAACTTATCTTTTTATTATTATTAGTTGAAAATTTATTTAACTTTTAAGCTACAAAATTAAAGCTTTTTATTGTATGATTTTTGAGGTTTTCAGCAATTTAACGTTTTTAAGAATCGCATCTACGTTTTTGCTTTTATACAAATGCAAAAACGTTGATGCGTTTAAACAAGACCGTTATTATTTAAAACTAAGAATATAATACCAAAAAGTTTTATAGTAAATGGAATTTCAATAATTAGGAAACAACCAGCATTTCACATAATAAGTCTGTGACAACTTTTTTAAAACATTTTATTTAATGGTAACGCAAAAAAGGGTTTTTAAAAATAACAAAATGATTTTAAAAACTCATTTTATAAAACATAAATATCTTATAACAAAAAAATGATTATAAAAGAACTTTAAATGACTGTTTAAATTAATATTAAACTGTTTAAATTAATGTTATTTAAATAATATTTTGAATTTGAATTATGTATGAGTCAACCTTAGCCCCTATATTCATTTTTGTTAAATTTTAAATATTGTCTATAGTGAGGAAAAAGCAAGTGAAAATATCTCAAAAACGTTCAAAGTACCCCGGTATACGGTAACATAATAAAAACTAAAATAAAAGAGGAAAATGCGAGTTAAATTATTAGAGTCCTATATAAAGATCAAATAAATGAAATGCAATTACCGTTGCAACTTGGCCCATCCGTTTAGAGCTTTGAAGAAAGCTGTTGCATTCCGTTCATCTGAAGATCTTTTACATGTCATTTTTGATATTGATATTGATATTTTTAAAACAATATGAATAGTAGAGTGATAGTGCGAAAAAAGCAATGTCGATAAAATTGTTGGTTATATAATATACTATAATATAGAAAAAGCCCAGCTGTATTATTAAATTAAAGTTTATATAGTTTTTTAAATCATTTTACAGATATATATATATATATATATATATATATATATATATATATATATATATATATATATATATATATATATTTTTAAATTATCTTCGCTTCCAACAAGGCTGCAAGCAACCACTAATTAGTGTTGGAAGTTACTGGAAGAGAAAAGATGAAGATTGTAGAGCAAGATAACGATTGACAGACGACTTAAAAGATTGCAAATTATATGAATCAGGAAAGCAAGATGAAGGAAGCGAATTCCAAAGAACTGGTGTTCGAGGAAAAAAACTAGACGAATAAGAGTTTTTGGAGCACTTAGGAACAGTAACAGAAAATGGATGAGACTTAATTGAATGACGAGTAACACGAGAATGAATTTTAGTAGATGGCACAAGAGACGCTAGCTCTTTCGAGCAGTGCCCATTATAGTATTTGTAGAAAAGAGAAAGAGAAGCAACGTTACGACGATGTGACAGAGGTTGAAGGTTGGCTGCAAGAGGTCCAACTATGTTTACAATGCGTTTTTGAACCTTTTCTAAAAGAGAAAGAGCATCATTAGAAGATCCGCCCCAGATATGGCAACAGTATTCCATGCAAGGCCGGATTTGAGATTTATAGAGATAGAGAATAGAATCCAGAGTTAGAAAGTGACGAGTTCGATAAAGAGAAGCAACTTTAGCAGAAGCTAATTTTGCAACGGATTTGATATAAGGTTTCCAAGAAAGATCAGAAGTAAGAGTTAATCCTAGATGATGAAGGGTAGGAAACTCATCGAGTACATTACCGTTCATAAACATAGTCTAAACTAAGGTCTAAACTATTGCGATAACAATTGGCCGAAAAAAATTGAGTTTTATCTGAATTTAAGTTCACCAGCCACTGTGAGCCCCATGCTGCAGCAGAAGTGAGATCCTTTTCAAACTCAGATTCCCCCTGCAAGCAATCGGAGGGAGTTGGCTTCTTATGGTGACAAGAATAAATGGTAGCATCATTAGCGAACAATGCCACCTTCGATGTGAGAATGTCTGGAAGATCGTTAATGTAAATAAAAAAGAGTATAGGGCCAAGGATTGAACCTTGGGGAACCCCTGAGGTTACAGAATAAGAAGAAGAGTGCTGTCCATCAAGAACAACTTTTATACTAAGATTGGAAAGAAAGGATTCAATAATCTAAAAGATGTTTCCAGATACACCGTAAGAAGAAAGCTTATGGAGAAGACCAGCATTCCAAACTTTATCAAACGCTTTAGAAATGTCAAGAGCAATGGCCTTAACCTCTCCACCTTTATCTAATGCGCTATAAAACCTATTGGTTATTACTGATAGCAAATCAGCCGTAGAACGAAAAGATCGAAACCCATATTGATGATCAGAAAGTAGGTTATGAGATTCGAGATGAGAAATTAAGTGTTTGTTAATTAAAGTTTCAATAAGCTTGCTTATGATAGGAAGAAGACTAATGGGACGGTAGTTAGACGAATCGGATCGCTCTCCAGAATTTTTAAAAATAGGGATAACAGATGCTGCTTTCCAGCAGGCTGGAAAACAAGACTCTGATAAGCACTTGTTAAATAGTTTTAAAGGATAGACGACAGCTCCGGAGAACACTTCTGCAAGACTATAACAGATAAGTTGTCCGGGCCGCAAGCTGTAGAAGAGTCTAAGCGGGAAATCAATTTAGATACAGAAGCTGAAGTGATACGAATGTTGAGCAATCGATCAACCTGTTTGACGGCTATATCAGGTAGAACGCAACTAGTGGCATCAAGAGATGATATTGATGAAAAGTTCTTTGCAAACAATTCAGCTTTGCCTTTAGGTGAGGTGACAAAGTCTGAACCATACAAAAGAGGTGGAATTACAGACTTGCCCTTATTATTGATACTATTAAAGATTCTCCAGAAGTCACGAGAGCCTAATTGTTGTGATGAAATACGAAATTTCATGATCTGAGAATAGCAGGCTTTGGCATTAGACAAACCTTTTTACAATGGTTCCTAGCAGTAATAAACAGACGTCTGTTTTCTAGAGATTTATTTTGCTGATAGATATGGAAGTAATGGTTTCGATTGGCAATTGCAGCAGCACAATGTGAGGAAAACCATGGAGAAGAGTGAGGCTTGACCTGCAATCGTCGAGAAAAATAAAGGATTCCATGCCAGCCTGAATCCACGAAGTTATGTAAGAAGCACATTTGTCAACAGGGAGACGAAAGATTTCTACCTAGGGGCCATCACGAAGAAAATCACGGAAAGAGTCCCAGTCAGCTTTAAGGTAGTTGTAAGATGTACGATGATAGGGGGATTCTGATAATAAAGAAGAATGAGATAATAGTTTTAGAGAGACCAAACCATGATCAGAAGCACCTAAGGGTGAGTGTGAAGAAACTGAGCACTGACTAGGATCAGAAACAAGACATAAGTCGAGTAGAGAAGGTAAATGATTCGGGTTGTCTGGAAAGCAAGTTGGAAAGTTGACTATTTGAGTTAGGGATTGAAAAAGACAAAAGTTGTCTTTCTCAATCCCTAAAAGAGTCACTGACATTAGAGCCAAGCCATTCAGTGTGATGAACCTTAAAGTCACCGAAAACAAAAATATTGGCTGATCGATAAAGAATGAGGGCTTGGTCAATATAATCTGAAATAATACCAAGAAGAGTGCAGTCTTGAGATGAGGGAGAGCGATATAGAACAAAGAGATAGATGATAGAGTGAAGTGGTGCTAAACGAAAGCACATAAAAGAGTAGTCTGTGGATTCAAACCTAGTTTCCCGACAAATGGGCGAATTCTTACGAATGTAAATGACCAGGCCAAGCATGTGACTATTGGAGTCTTTACGAATAACCATCAACACTAAGATCACAAGATGAGACAGCTGAGTTCAAATTAGTCTCACAAAGAGCAAGTAGGTCTGGTGAACTTTGCAAGAGATAAGACTCAACAGAAGAAAAGTTACTTCGAAGACAACGAATATTGGTGAATGATAGGTTTAGCGAACTTGGTGATGACTGTGGTTTTTTGTGTTTTATAGTTTTTTTTACTTTATTCATTTTTAAATTTGTTAAAGAACTTGACTCGAAACATAGATAGTACTCAGTACTCTGCTTTATAGCTTAAGCAATTGCCTCATTTCCACTAATAAACCCTAAGCCGTAACAAAGGGCTCCAATGTGGCCTCGGCAATGCACACCAAAAGTACAAACAGGGACACCATTCATGAGCAACATGGCACTGTTAGTACTCTGATATTTTTCAGCTGTTGATGGAATCAGCCTCTCTGAGAGCTACCACAGAGTTTG